AGATGGCATTTCTCAGTTGTGGTTGGACGGCAAACCCACCGTCAAGAAGTTTATCCATTCAGGGCAACCCATCAACGGCAAGCCGATCACAGTCCTGGGCCAAGAGCAAGACTCTTATGGGGGAGGCTTTGACGCCACTCAGTCCTTCATCGGCATGATCTCACGACTTCACATGTGGGACTACGTCCTCTCGCCACAGGAGATCCGACGCTACGAGGAAGACTCAAACTTCACCCCTGGGAACGTGTTCAACTGGAGAGCTCTCGACTATGAAGTAGTTGGCAACATTTTGGTGGAGCAAGAGGTCATGTAGAGGAATTTACCTATACCATAGGAATTAAAGTTGCCCGTTTTCAATAAAAGTTGAAATACTGCATTCACAACTTTTGTAGAGGACGCGTCCTCCCCATGAAAAATGTTCAAAGAGTAAAAGATATATTTCATCCCGACAGAAAGTGTATTATATTTTCCCCTAGAGGGCAATTGGTTCTGCAGCAAGACTGAAAAAAAGCCTACTAGAACAATAAAACTATTTGGGGTTATGCAGAGACGCGTTAATTATACAGTGCCATATTTTACGCACTATAAGGCGCACAGAAAAGTCTTCAATTTTCTTAAAAGCTCACAGCGCGCCTTAAAATCCGATGCGCCTTGTGTATGGTCATTACGGTCATATGTTGCACCCCCCCCCCGTCCAATGGCTCCTTGAAGACATGCTTGCAAAGTTATAACTTGCTGTTGGTTCAGTGAACTGTGTCACTGCTTTATGAAATAAGTTTTTGTTGCAGCTCCGAAAAAAGGAGCTGTGGTGTTTTTTTTAAAACGCACACTTTATTAATGGGTTTCACAGTCTCAACAAATACAGGTACGTCTTTGTCCATCTCCGTGCCTTTTCTTCCGTTCGACTCAAGAGGCGTTCATGACCGCCTCGGAAAAAAGTTTTGTTTGGTGCAAACTCATGACCGCCCATTGTACAAACCAATCTTTGAACAGTGAACCCCACTTTTTCCATCTTCCTTCCTATGCACGCTTTTTTGGGTGTGCGCTTGTGATGCACACTGTTACCTACCTTTGGTTTCGGCATAAGATGCAAGCATCACCATGAAAACCGAGTTTCTCCAATTCAATTGGCCCAAATGACTCGATACATTCACGGGGCTTCATCCCGCCATCACTAGCCACAATTTCTCATATTCCTGTTCATCTCCAAAAATATTTTGTGGAATATTTTTCATGTTCAAGTCAACGTGGGGACCACCACCACCAGCACCTTGCCCAATGAGGGCCAGTGATTCACCCCAAAAATCAAATTCAACTGTTCTAGTAGGCCATCTTGCCTTCCAACAAGAAAAACTCAAAAGTCAAGACATGATCTTCAAATCCAAGTTTAATACCTAAGTGTAATTTCAGACTTCTACAAAGTGAGCTCATCTTCCACCAAAACACTGCCAGTGATTTCATAGTCTAAGGCTCTCCAGTTGAGCACGTTCCCAGGGGTGAAGTTTGAGTCTTCCTCGTAGCGTCGAATCTCCTTTGGAGAGAGGACATAGTCCCACACGTGAAGTCGCGAGATCATGCCAATGAAGGATTGAGAGGCATCAAAGCCCCCCCCATATTTGTCCTGCTCTTGGCCGAGGATGATGCTAGGCTCTCCCGTGATGGGCTGCCCTGAATGGATAAACCTCTTGATGGTGGGCTTGCCGTCCATCCACAACCGGGCAATGCCATTTTCAGAGTCCCAGGTGGCGCACAGTGTGTGCCAGGCATTGGGAGGAAGAGACAGCGACAGGAAGTCCGTGCCGCCTTGCCGAATGTGAACTCTCATGTTGTTCGTTTGGAGCTTGAAGATTACTAAATCATTGCTGAGCGCCGGTGTGGCCAGAGAGAAGAGGACATAGTTCCTGGTCAGATCTGTGAGGAATCTGAGTAGACACACCAGAAGCAAGTCATCAAGCACAAATACTTCAGACAACACTGGTAATGTATACACTGACAGTAGAGCTTCATTTTAGAGTCTGGAATTCTACCGGTATTTACTCTAATTATTTGGAGGGGAATTAAACCCCAGTTTTTATCTCCTGCTTCATGGGAGCGCTATTTTGTCACTTGCTGTTAATTGAATTATCACACCACTGTTACTCAGGAATGGACCAGTCGTGGTTCAGCTTGCAAACGTGACCGAACTCAAAATAGGTGTGTCGTGATCAGTGTTAGCTGAGCAACCGTGGTTTGTCATTGTCATTTGGTGAAAAAAAAAAATAAAAATGAGATGAATTTTCTAATTTATTCAAATTCCACAAAGACAATCTTAAATGAATACCATGTTTAGACGAGTGGGGGGGGGCACATTAGAACATATTGTAAAGGCTTTTTTTATTGACTTCCCTATAAAATACATGTGTCGTGATCAGTGTTAGCTGAGCAACCGTGGTTGGTCATTGTGTTTAATCACTTTTGCCTCAGAAGGTGAGGACTGAAAGCAAGAGGGTCACAGCTGATTCCCCTTTACCTGAGACAGACAGTCACTGCACTGAAGGATGTTTTGGGTGTGATCAATTTCACATGATCATTGGCTGTCCCCTTGGGGAACACAAAGATTTTGCCAGAAAGATCTGCACAAACAAAGGATTAAAAGGCATCACAACAGTGGATTTCGAAAGACACACAGTTCATTTAATCATCACAAACTGAGATCAGAAGCTTATCGGACACTTTGGCTTTAGTCACTAGTCATTGTGACCGACTATGAACCCAAATGTCACACCTCAAGTGAAATAATGCATTTGTTACAAAAAAAACCCCAAAACAAAACACAAAACAACCCTGCTCATTGCATCCTACATTGTATTATTTACAACACAGTGTTTCAACCCCACTTTTAATCTTAACCGCTTAACATTTTTTGGGGTGACCGTGACCACATGGATACTCACCTTTGGTGCGTGCACAACATGATGCAAGCATCACCATGAGAACCAAGAGTTTCTCCATCTGAAATTAAAAGAAGGTCAGCATTTTATCACTGCACCACACCATTGAGCATGAATCGTTTACAATGTATAAAGATTTTTAATGCTTCACATACTGGATTTAATCATGCAATTTGAGAAGAGCTCTGTTCTTCACCAAGTCAGAAAATAAACCTGAGGAACTCGCTGCGACAGGCCACATGCGACGATTGACAATAGTCACAGAGGGATGGCATGGAAGACACAGAATTAAATACAAACACAGTGATGAGAAAACGAGGCACACCTGGACAAGACGTGAGGGTTTCGAGAGAGTTGGTTGGTTGACAATGACATCATGAGGAGACACGGAAGACGCAGGAAAAAAAAGCAAATGTAGATCACAAGTTAGGAAACTAAAATTATATGATGACATAACAGGTGTTAAACTGGCGGCATCCAACCTTTTTCCTCCGAGGGCCACGTACAGAAAAACGGAAGTATGCTAGAGACGCTTTGACATTCTTCTACCTTAATGTGTTAAACACACTGAAACCAATCCATCAACCAATTTTTAATTCGTAGACGAAGTCGCAGTTTTTATTTCTTTTGAAACCAAGCTGGGCCATGTGCAGCTACTGAATACAACAAATCGGAAGTACAAAGGCTAAAGGCTCCTTGTGAGATAATGGATTATAAATCAGTGTCAGCCCGTCCTTTCCAGGAAGAGCTATTCTAAAACCGATGTATCCATGTGTGATTGCATTATTAAGTGCCATCAGTGTTATCCAAACAGATAATGTCTGTGTTTGTGTGTCCTTGTCTACAGTGAAAGCTGAGTTGCCGCTTGGAATTGAGGCGGATTTACATGGGACAGGAGATGTGAGTCAATCTCTTTTTTCGTCAATGGACGCGACAGCTTCTTGTTTGCTTTCAAACTTAGCTTGCAGCAGACGTGCACATTTTCAGCATGACGTCTCTAATCCACTGGTGAAAGGACACTTTGATTCTCTCCCCTTTCATCTAGAACTGCTTCAAACAACAAAAGCGTATGCAGGAAAAGTGGTTAAGATTGCATGACGGTCTGTGTCTTATGTTATGTGCTGTGTTAGATTATTTTGTTATTATATGTTAACAGTTAACTGTTCTGTAAAGTGCTTTGTTACAGCTGAAGCTGTTGTGAAAGCTTTATATAAATAAATATGTATTTTATTGTATCATATATATCTTACAGAGCCTCAGGCATACTATTTTATTTTAGAAAAATCTCACGGCACACCACTTTTATGGAAGTCGTAAAGGACAATAAAAATCAATGATCTCGTTTCAATTTACTCACAACTTACTTACCCAGTGTGAAATCTGGGAAGATGAATTTCTGCCATCTAATGGAATAGCATTTCCCTGGGATGGGCCGAAACCTCCTACGTCACAATTTGTTATTTCTTATTTTATTTACAAATCTATATTGCTGGTGTGGGTGTTATTTTCTTTGACAATTTATTGACCAATCTACAGTGTTGGCTGGCTGTGTTTGATAATGCAAAATTACTGGTTGAACAAAGGCAAAGCAGCTTTATTTATAGAGCACATTTCATACACAAGGCAACTCATTGTGTTTCACACAAACAACGACCAAACACCTAACACCACATTTCGTACTTTAATAAGTACTGTTTCTGTACTGTGATGAAGGTTGGAAACCTGGTTAGAATTCATCAAAATGTATTCAAAAGTCAGTTTGAATTCAAGATTTTGCGGGGTTGATTAAAATCCACTTTCTTGAAATTCTTGGTTAAGAAGATAAGGTTTGAGATGGGTCTATATAGCTGCTAAAGAGAAGACATCCAGCGTTCTCTTTTTTACAAGGGATTTTCAGGAATTTAGGAAACTTGCCTGAGTGAAGTGAGCAGTCATTTTTTGTTGGTTTTTTTTTTTGCTGTAATTTGCTTTGAACAGATTTCAAACCTGCCATTTTGGGGGTCTCCTTAAAAGGGATGATTTTGTCGCTACCAGGCGCCAGTTGGCTGAAGCGTGCTTTCTTTCGCGAACTCACATTTACCTCAAAAACTACATTACCCGTCATGCACCACAATGACGTATGAAAGAGACTTGACTTCAAGATGGTGCTGGAAAGTACTATGGTTTGGTAAGGATGGCAAAACGAGTTTGAATTTAACAATTATTGCTATTTTATGCCACGAGAAAAATGATTTGACCCATTGTTCAACCCGCTTCAGTTTTATTTCGATACTAAACGTGTTCTGTCGAGTCAAATATTGTATTTTGGACTTTTTCCTGAGTCACTCTCCCAACGCTAACGCGGAGCATAGCAAGATAAAAAAATGTTTTTGTGTCACTGACTTGGCATTTTATGTAATTACCGATGGCAAACTTAGTATTTATTTATTTACGATAACAATGGGACCTTATTTTTCGCTATTTGTTTTGGTTTGTGCAACAAAAAAGAGAATTTCAAAGCGCTAATATTAGCTCCGAGACAGAAGCTAGTGCCATTGTCAAAGCCTCTGTTCAGATTAATTTTCGAGCATCAGTGTCTCAGTTATAAACACTTTTCTCATACTCAGCTCATAAATCTATAAATTTAGTGTCTTAAAAATATATGACTATTTTGTATCACATACTTTCGGCACAATCAAACACCAAATGAAAAATATATTGCATTCCTAATCATGAATTTACTTTTTCATTTGAATGTCCCTTTTGTTTGTTTGCAGTGTGGACAACAGTGAATACATGCGCAATGGAGATTTTCTGCCCACTAGGCTGCAAGCTCAGCAGGATGCAGTTAATATCGTTTGTCACTCCAAGACTCGCAGCAACCCCGAAAACAACGTCGGCCTCATCACCATGGCAAAGTGAGCGACATTTCAGTTCACCGAATATGCTTTTTATTTAAAACTGATGACATTATGAACGAAACAAGTGCCTGGTGTTTGTTGTCCTGCGCAGCAACTGTGAAGTACTGACGACACTGACTCCAGACACAGGAAGGATACTTTCAAAACTGCATGCTGTGCAGCCTCGTGGAAACATCAGCTTCTGTACTGGCATCAGGGTAGCACATGTGAGTTTTTCATTTTATAGCATTCTGACGCTTCGTCTAAGCCAGTGGTCTCCAAACACCGCTCCACCATTTCGTACCAGGTCATGAGTATTTAACAGTACTCATGAGCATATATTCTTTATCCTCTGTGAAAAACAACTACTGTACCGGTAATACAAGCTGATCCTAGAAGAGTGCATTTTCTTTTATTTTGTAAGTATCACTTTCCCCCTGCTGGTCAAGGTGCGCACATCAGGACCATGATGTCAATGGGCGTTGAAGCAAGAAATTATGATGCACATCCTTAAAAAAATAATACATTCTACTTAATTTTGTCATTACCAACATTTTTACACCATACACGATGGGGTCTGCAACCTGTGGCTCTTTCATCCTTTTAATGTGGCTCTCAATCATTAGAAAATAAGCAGTATTGAATTTAAATTGAGTCAGTTCGTTTTTCAACTTTAATTCTAAATTTGAAAGTTGTGGTGCTCTTGTAACTTTCAAAGAAAGAAATTTTTTTGGAGTTACTAAAAAAATGCGCCACAAACACAAATGTGACTCTGTACACTGAAGTTCAGGAGCAAAAATCACATTAACTTTATTTCCCATATGCCATAGGAACATGCTCAATCGGTCAGTTGATGCTTTTCTTCTGTTTGCATTCTTATTGTTTTGATTCTCATCTTTGCAGTTAGCATTGAAGCACAGACAGGGCAAAAACCACAAGATGCGTATCATTGCCTTCGTTGGCAGCCCGGTGGAGGACAACGAGAAAGAGGTGAGCTGTTTTCCTCTGCAGTTGCGTTCTTTTCCAACTCCAAACAGTAAGCATGTTAAGTAATGATTCCTCAAAAGGGTTATGGGTGTAAAATAAAAACAAAAGTCAATAAATATTTTTCTACATTAAAAGATGTTGAAATACAGCAGTCCTTACGTCTTGATGTGTTCTGTTTGCCTTAATGCTCTCTAAATAACAAGTTGATTTGTTTTCTCCCCCCTCCAAGCTGGTCAAAATGGCAAAACGCCTGAAGAAAGAAAAAGTGAACGTGGATATCATCAACTTTGGAGAAGAGGTATTTGCAATAACATTGACGCAAAACCTTGCAACCGTGTGTTGTACCACACGAGCTCACTGCGGTTCTTCTTGGCAGGAAATGAACACCGAGAAGCTGACGGTCTTCATCAACACGCTGAACGGGAAAGAGGGCAGCGGCTCCCATCTGGTCACGGTGCCTCCGGGACCCAGTCTGGCGGATGCTTTGCTATCCTCACCCATCCTCGCCGGAGAAGGCGGTGCCGCGTTGGGTTTGGGTGCCAGTGACTTTGAGTTTGGAGTGGATCCCAGTGCAGACCCAGAGTTGGCCCTGGTAAGAGAACAGCACAAAGGTGTCACATCGTATCACTGAGTTTTTGATCATTTGTGGTCTTATTTTGGCCATTTTGAGATATTTCACTCCAGATAAAAAAGTGGGACGATATCAGAGGTCCCATTGAATTGATATAAAGTTACCCCCGGTTCTTCATTGTGGTCTTGTAGGCTCTCAGGGTGTCGATGGAGGAGCAAAGACAAAGACAAGAGGATGAAGCCCGTAGAGCCACTGTGGCATCCGCTGCTGAAGCTGGCATTCCCTCCCCCGTTGATGGTAAAATATAAAATCCAGAAACTAGAGGTGGGGGGGACTTGATTCACACTTGAATCTGACTCAAGTTGTCAATTTTAGGACATTTGATGTAAAATTTTGCGGGGAGTGGACTTGACCTGTTTAATTTTTGCCACTGGAGCTATTGGCTTGTTTTAAACTTGAAGGTTAAGCCCACCTTTCTTTTTTATGCACACAGGCAATATTCTGCCCCTTACCTAATGTAAGCTGAGCCAGACTCAAAATTGTAATTGCAAGTGTCTTTTGTTTCTGTCGTAGAGTCCGATGACGCCTTGTTAAAGATGTCAGTTCCAAGTACAGAATCTGCAGTACCCGCGTTGCCAGATTTCAGCCGCATGACAGAAGACGAGCAGATTGCATATGCTCTACAGATGTCCATGCAAGGATCAGCAGCAGGTGAACACTTCCAAATATTCAGAGATCGTTTTCAGTCATTTGAGTGCTGTCATTAGTGCATCAGATGCACTAAAGTTACCTCTAACCTCTAAAGTTAAACACGACCCAGTCAACATCAGTTGTGTTGGGATGTAACTAAATTTAGCATTGAGGCCAGTTATCATCTGAATAATTTTATCCCGAGTCAGCATAACATTTCTATTCGATTGTAGAGTTTGGTGCTGAAGATATGGACACTGGTGCCGACATGGACTCTGGTGAGACCAAGGTAAATGTTTGTTTTTTGTTCTTTTTAACAACGTTGGCTTGCATTTCATTAAAAAACTTCTGCTATCGTATCTGCGTTCAGGATGAAGAAGACTATGACGTGATGCAGGATCCAGAGTTCCTTCAGAGCGTCCTGGAGAACCTTCCTGGCGTTGACCCGAACAATGAGGCCATCCGTAACGCCATGGGCTCCCTGGCAGCGCAGACTGGGCCTAAACCCGATTCCAAGAAAGATGAGGAGAAAAAGAAATGATAACGCAGATCAAGGGAGGAATTTGTGATAGGCTCAGTTAACACCACCGTGATCATGTTTCGCTTTTGTTCGACCATCTTCGTGTTGCTGTCTCAATATTACCTTTTACCTTAAGGTTCTATTATTTCTTCCCCCTATTTTTTCCCCCAGATTCCAAACAAATTTGTTTGTTTGAATCTTTTGTGAATACATCATCTCAATTCAAATGTTGAATAAATTTACACAATCCTAAATGGCACATTATGTTGTATAATTTGTAACTGGTTTGTATATCTACAATTCTGTTGGAGATGTGTTGCTCACATGGTGCACATGTGAAGCTGAATCTGCAATGACAAATCTCTAATGGCAAAAGTGATGTCATTTTTCTTGAAATGAAGGTGAGGATATATAAAATGCCAATCGTGAATAGGAAGAATTGAGTGACAAATATCTGATTTTTTTTATAATCGGAAATGCCAATTTTGAATAGAAAGAATTGAGTGACAAATGGCAGCTTTTTTTTGACTAGTCACAAGTGATATCTGCAATGTATGTCAAAAGTAACTGGGCTTGCAATCGTAACGTGCCTACTTTGACAAAGTCAAGAGTCCACAGCTATCTATTTCAAACATGGGGCGGAAATGAAGTGTCAGAAAATTCAATGCAATCCTCAAGTAAAGTTGAGAGAACTACAGTACAATTTATACGTAGAATCTAAAGTACAATAATCAAGTATTTGTACTTCGTTTCTTCCCACCACTGACCAAACAGTTAAGTAGGTAAACCTTGAAAAGATAGTAACACGACTATACTCACTTGTGTATTTAAATTTAAATTTGAGCAAAACCCACAAGTACCGTATTAGTTCGGTAATTTTAGTCGCGCGGTGTGATGACGTATTATTTGCGCGACGGAGTGGAAAGTAAGGATTCGACTACGCTCGCTGGTAGGTAACTGCGTTACATTAGGATTTTGGACGAATTATATGCTTTAAATAATTCATATATAACACACATTAAACGCAACACGTTGACACAATATCTGTTTGTCTCGCTCATAAAGTGTTTTTCGACTTTTATAGGACCGATGCTAGCGTGGCCAGCTAGCCGTAACGTGCTAAAGTGGAGCTCTGAGCCGAAGCTACCACTTGTTGAATCATCACTTGGAGCCGAACGCATCTCTAGTAAACTACGTTATACGTTCAAATTGTTAATTTGAATTAACCCGACAACTACCAGTTTACGTTCAACATTGTAACTCACCAAACGCCACATAATTTTCTGTGTCGCCAGCTGCAGTGGTGGCAGGATGTTTTGTTAACCCTCATATCCGGCTTGGGTCAAAATGTTGCCTTTTTGATGTTTTACTGCAGGGAAAATACCCGAAAGTGCATTCTTTAACTCATTAACTTTTCCACAGTGACCAAAAGCAAACTGAAATAATGTTGTTTTTATTGTCAATCTTTTCTACAGGTACTTAAAAGTGTCTGTCCACAGATGCAATTTGTTCATTGTCAGAGTTGCCACGACTTAAAAGGATTTACTGGCGTGTTTTGAATAAATGGAAATGGTGTGAAATTTTGAAATGTAAAACTCTACATGATAATAGTGACTGAGTAAAGCAGCATAAGATTGATACATACTAAACACGAGCACTCAATGTTATCCATAGTGTAAAGTGTACCTGCACACAGATGTGAGATCTGCATTCTGCACTTGGAAAACAAATTTCGACCGCCACCACAGCAAATAAATGTACACTTTTCTCCTTTTCATTTATGAATGTCAGTCTGACTCAGTACTTTTTAAAAATGTTTTAGAGTTCATAATTTGATGTCGACAGTTATGATAATATTCTTGACATACTGTGATGTGCATGGAAATTTGACAAAGCTCCTCAACAGTTGACTTTTGCGTAACTCTTGTTTTGCATTGGCAGGTTTTAAGCTGAATGCGGGCAATGGGGGACGTGAAGACCCCAGACTTTGATGATTTGCTGGCGGCGTTTGATATTCCCGACATTGATGCCATACAGTCAAGTCCAGAAGAGGACGATGTGTCTGCTAATGACAGAAAAAATTCATCCCACCCAGGCTCCCTTGCCTCACACACTGACCCCCCTCCTGTCAGTGTTATAGTGATGAACACTGTGAGACCCTGTGAAGATGATGTTGGAAAAAAAGACAAGACTACAAGCACTCCTTTAGACTCTTGTGTTAAGATAAATCTCACTGCTGCCCAAACTGCCAATAGATTTAATGGGTCTGCTGCTAGTGACCAGGAAGGATCCAACGCAGGACCGTGGCAACAGCATTCACTGCTGAAGTTGAACGATGACAACGAAGGGAATGCGATGGAGGTTGATTCGGTCAGGAACATGATTGAAGATGTGACCAGTTTGAAGCCCCAGCCACAACTGGAGTCCACTCAGTTGCCTTTTCCTTCCTCTCCGCACTCCGGCTTGCCTCAGAAGGAGGAAGCACACCTCCTCCCACATGCACCGTCATCCCCTTTATCTCACAATGGGGGTGTTTGCAAAAAGAATGCCTCTCACTTGGATGAGGACGACTCCGAACCAGACTTGGGAAGCCCACTGGTGATCCACGAAAGCCCAGAATTTGTCATGCCGTCGCCTCCGAAATTGAAACACAGCGTCAGACATCAACCTGAGCTGTGTGTCTCTCCTGAGGCCACCTCATGTACCCTTGAAGCGTTGATTAAGCATGAGGAGAAATCTATTTCCCTCGCATCGCCACAACCGTCAGCGAGCCCTCAGAACTGTCATTTGGCACCTGTGCAAGATGAGAAATATCCAGAGCATGTGATAGATGAGAGGGACTCACCTGAGAGTCCACCGCCTAGTGAGACAGGGCTCCCGTTTCCCAATAAAAGCCCTGAGTTGGAGAGCCACAAGGAGCTTATGGACAGCGAGCCAAGCCAAGAGGACAGCCCTAATGACAGCAGAAAGACTGCAGGAGATGGTCAAACCGTAAATGAGGAGTCATCTTTTGACACCGTGTCTCCGAAAACAGAACCATCTGAATTGTTGCCCCTCAAAGTTAAAATTAAAGTGCCCGCAGGGAGCTTAATGAAGACGACGCTTAAAAGAGGTCCAAAAGCAAATTCTAAAGGTCCGGATTCTTCCAAATTGTCACCAAAGGCTTATAATCCGAGATCTAAGAAGGGCGGTTCCCAGCAATCTCGTTCAGAAATGACAGTCAAAGAAAAACGTTCAGTGACGATCAAACCTAAATCCTCCCCCATAGTGGTCAGTGTCGCCAAAACGACACCTCTTCCCTCCATGACCGACTCAACAGCTGGACCCGGTGGCATAAACCTGCACTGCCTGGGTCAGAAGACTCTCCAGAGTTCCCCTCAGTGTAGTAGCCGACCTGCCTCCATAGTCACCAGCGGCGGGGCCATTGTATCCAAAAGCCAGACCAATCTGGTGGAAATCTTCAACAAGATTCTCACCAATAAGAACCTGCTGCCCAGCTACAAACCTGACTTGAGCTCCCCGCCTCCTGCTGAGTGGGGCCTTCCTTTGCCGGCTCAGGTAACTCTGACAAAATCCACAGCTTGGTGGCAGTGAACTCAACTCACTACACACACACACACACACACACAAAAGGCACGTCAACATGTTTAATGCTGCTCACTTTTGCAGAATTTAAAAGAGCTAATTTTGGTTGGTTAAATGGGCTGGTTGCGAATTAGTTGGGCCTGATTCTCAACATTCTATTTAATTATGTCATAACTGTATGATTTATAGAGTGTGCGATTATAGAGTGCTATTTTTCTTTGCCAAATATTGTCTGGAACAGGTTAATGACATTTACTTATTGTGTTTGGTTCCAAGGAACAAATTCAACTCATATTTCACTAAACCACTGTATTTAAATAAACCATTTCTCCGAATTAAAAAAAAAAAAATGAAAATGAAGGTGAAATAAATCATTTTTATTGTGCTTGACGTACATACATATTATTTTTGGGTTCGATTTAAGTCGTGATTTAAATCAAACATCCCCGATGGACACGGTGGCCAGTTTTAAGCCTATAATGATGAACAGTGGATCCCGTTTTGATCCTGGCCCAAAGTGAACCCCGATTGACACCGTGGCCAGTTGTAAGCCTATCATGATTAACATTTGACCCTGTTTATATTCTAGCCTCATGTGAACCACAGTGCTGATGTCACATCATGTCCATGACACTTGACAGGGTTACCGCTGTTTGGAGTGCGGCGACGTCTTCGCCCTGGAGCAGAGCCTGGCCCGCCACTACGACCGGCGTTCGCTGCGCATCGAGGTGACATGCAACCACTGCGCCAAGCGGCTGGCCTTCTACAACAAGTGCAGCCTGCTTTTACACGCGCGGGAGCACAAAGAGCGAGGCCTGATCATGCAGTGCTCGCACCTTGTCATGAAACCTGTGTCCTTGGAGCAGATGATAAACCAGATTGAACTCAGTGGTCAGTGTCCAGCTTTTCTCTCCTGTTTGTTGTCTGGAATATGTTTGCTTTTTGATGCTGTGCCAGAACCTCTGAATACAAATAACCTTCAGACTGAACAACTTTGGAAAAAAAATTGTACCATTTTATTTAAAAAAAAAAAAACAAAAGCGTTTTATGATGGCAACAGTTCAACCTTGGAAACGATGAATTCACTTACTGTGATTTCCTGAGGGAATAATTGATTGTAAAATTAAGCATGTTGACGAATACTTTTGAAGGGGTTATACAAGTATTTGAAATAACAGGTTCCCTTGCATACACTGTCATCATCTGTTTTAGGACAGTCCACCTTCCATGCCAAAGGGCAGCCACAGCAAGCGTCTGTGAACAAGAAATCTGACACTGTCCAGCACATCGGTAATAAATGTCCAGAATGTCAGACTCACTTTAGCAGCAAAAAGGAGGTGATCCAACATTTCCAAGAAATCAAACAACCTGAAACCACAGTGAGTCTACATTTTGTTTCCTCTCGAATTGCATACACAAGCTCTGACTACTTTATTTATTTTCTTCCTCTCCAGCAATGCACCGAATGCTCCCCTCCGATGCTGCTGCCCAACACCTGCAGCGCGGCAGCTCATCAGCGCATCCATCAAGGCAGTCCGCCGTGCGTCTGCCCCGAGTGCGGCGGCACCTCCAAGCACCAAGTCTTTCAGTCACATCTGGAACACACTTGTTTGCACTTTTCACGACGCATCGGGTACAGGTATGTCATCAGCCCATACCGGCTGTTCAATTAGTCTTTACAGTCAACCTAAGTGAAAAAAATGTGAATAATTGATGCGCCTCCCCCAAAATATCGGTAATATTTCCACAAACATTGATCCCAAAACACTTAAAAAGTATTTCAAAGTCACCTTACAACATTACCCTAAAGACCTTTTCACACTGCACTTAGCAGTGTGCAGCATGTAGCGTTGCTTGGCGCTCCGGCGCGGCAGGAAGGACAAGGCGCCTCCAATTAAAAATCTATTCTTGAACGGCATTGCTGGGGCATCGCACAAGTGCCTCCAGTAGAGGAGAAGCTGGCAGAGTGATGTAAAACTAAAATAAAATTAAACTCACCCTTTGTGAATACCTGACAGGCACATCATGGACAGAGAACAGGGAGGTGTTTTTCTGCGTGAAGCTTTAGCCTGTGTTTTATAAATATAACACTATTATCTCTAGGTGCTGAGCAAGGAGGAGGGAGGAATTTTCCACTATCTGCCGTTATTGTTTGGCCTTGACAGTGAGTCTGTCTTTGATTGCGCGCTCTTGTTTTTGTCTGTGCAGATGCTCCAGTTGTCTGGTGGTGTTTGGAGGGCTGAATTCAGTGAAGACGCACATCCAACAGGCCCACTGTGACATTTTCCACAAGTGCCCCAGCTGTCCCATGGCTTTCAAATCGGCACCCAGTGTACAAAGCCACATCACTACCCAGCATCCTGCGTTGACCGAAGGCCAGGCCATGTACGTCGCACGCAGCCGGCTTATACGTTTCCATTCTGAATGTGCCTCTTAACAGCACGACGTTTATTGTTTCTCACAGGTTGATCTACAAATGTGTGATGTGTGATACAGTTTTCACGCACAAGTCCTTGCTGTACGTCCACTTCGATACACATTTAGCCACTCAAAAAGTTAACTTGTATAAATGTCCGGAATGCACCAAGATGTTTCCTCAGAGAAGTGTACTGATGGAACATTTCAAGGTATACTCATGCTTATTATTGGACTCATTCATCACTGGTCACTTTTTAACCCTATTTCTTCTTTCTTATTCTTTAGAGCCACAAGACATCCAAGCAAGAATTAGCCTCCACCCCAGCGGCTGGTTCTTCGTGTCCTCAGCCTGCGGTCAAGATAGAAAGTTCAGACGGGGAAGACGGCGAGAAGGAAGTTAATGATGAGACTACCATCACCACGCCAGGGTGGAAGTGCGCTCACTGCCAGGAATGCTACACTGACTCGGAAGAGTTCATCAGCCATATGGCTAAACAACATGGCAAGGTTGTTAACCCAAGTCATGTATCTTTGTTTTTTAGTGGGTTCTCGTTTGATAGCAGTTGTTGTTCATGTCACCGTGTGTGTGTGTGTGTGTGTGTGTGTGTGTGTGTGTGTGTGTGCGCGCGCGCGCGCGTGTGTGTGTGTGTGTGTGTGCGCTTTTAGATCTTAAAGAACTTTCCCTGTAACAAATGCGAAAGCTCCTTCTCCTCCGCATCCAGTCTGAGACGCCATGTCCGCGACAAACACAAGCTTGCAAGTCGCTTCCACTGCCAGTGAGTGACGCCCTGTTACCACAGACACAAACAAGCCATCGTTTATGTCAAGGCTTTCCTGGATGCAAAAAAAAAAAAATTGCATTTGGCAAAAGTAATTGAAAGCTCAAATTTGAGTGTTCATTTGCCACTTTTCCCTCCAAAATATGTTATATGGGATAAAAGAGTGTTTTCTTACGTTATGGGACGTAGAAAAGTCATTTTGTACGTACTTTATTTTGGCATGCATACATATATTTCTTTACTTTGACCTCCTCTCAATCGATACATTGAACATTTTTTGTGTTTGTAGGTTCTGTATGGGCAGCAAGAAATCATTCAGCAGCCGAGCAATGTTGGACAAGCACATCCACCTTCGACACCGCGCGGAAGCCATGAACCAGGAGGTACGCCTGACCAATCTGTCTGTTTTAGAACTCAAATGCGGCCCTTGAGCGCAAGTTTTCCCATCCCTGCCTTAAGCTCTTCAGTAAACATTCATTCATTCATTCATTCATCTTCCGAACCGCTTCATCCTCACTAGGGTCGCGGGGGTGCTGGAGTCCATGCCAGCTGCCTTCGGGCAGCAGGCGGGGGACACCCTGAACCGATTGCCAACCAATCGCAGGGCACACAGAGACGAACAACCATTCGCGCTCACACTCACACCTAAGGGACAATTTCGAGTGTTCAATCAGCCTGCCATGCATGTTTTTGGAATGTGGGAGGGAACCGGAGTACCCGGAAAAAAGCCACGCAGGCACGGGGAGAACATGCAAACTCCACACAGGGAGGCCGGAGCTGGAATTGAACCCGGTACCTCTGCACTGCTATGTGCTAACCACTGGACTTGCGGGCCGCCCTCCTTCAGTAAACAATGAAACATATACTGTATATTAGAAAAGGATTTGACAGCTATGTAATTAACATTTTGCTCATTAGCATAATTAAGATTATATGGGAAATGATGGTGGGAAGGATGAGGGGACTATTTTTTTATGCACCTTATGGGTTTACACTAGGCACAAATTGGCCTTTATTTGTTTTCGAGGACAAATTTATCTTGGCGTTTCATCAAAGTAAGAAATGTCAAGTTGAATGAAGTGCCCTTCAAAAGAGTCTAAAATGTTTCAATTTGACTTCCTTAAGCTTGTTTGAAGCAGTTGTACCTCATGAGGTGGGCTTCAGTGTATTTCGAATGTAAAAATGGCGTCTTCTGAGCAGGGGGGCACAGATGAGGCTGACAGCTCCTCGGAACATGACGGCGCTTCGCTGACTCGCCGTAGACGCCGAGCGGCTGCCAAGACGGAGCACAACGAAGAGTACTCTCCCTCAAAAAAGTTAAGATCATCCTTCGCGCCGCCCTCCTATTCTCCTCCCGAGTCCGGGTTCCGCTGCGCTCCCTGCGGCTTCACCACGGAAGACCAGGCCACGTTCCAGGCGCACATTAGCCAGCATCGAGTCGGGGTCGAGGGCGGCGGGCAGCAGTGCACTCAGTGTGGCGCCTGCTTCACTTCGAGCAAGTCGCTGGCACGCCACCTCTTTATCACCCACAAGGTCCGAGACGCGTTCACCGATCAACATCAAGCCCTGATCGTGGGCGGGGCGTTGTCTCCCGTTAACAGCAAGAAGCTTGATGAGAATTCTCTTGGTTGCCCCGCATCGCCCTCCTCGCAAACTCACGGCCAGGAAGATGACGACACGCTTAACTGTAAAGTGTGCAGCAAACACTTTGACAGGGCCACTGATCTCAACACGCACTTCAGAACTCACGGCATGGCTTTTATCAATGCAAGAAACACGGGGAAACCAACCTAGGATGTGAGTAGACCTTCACAACGTGCCTTATTATTATTATATTGAGGATTTTTGGCTCAGCCCATCCTTGGCCAAAAACATAGCACCTCCTTTGTGAAATCTGATCACTGCAAAATTTCCCCAGCGAACCTGAGCACAGGTTTTGTTTGGATTTAGTCACAAACGAGGGCAAGATTATACTGCCGACACCAAAGTCATCGGTATGCAATTTAACCAGATATGATACAGATACAAATTAATGTCACGTCAACGTAAAACAATCAAAAACGATTCCTTCCATCCATTTTCAACGCCCCTGATCCTGGAACAGGGTCGCTGGAGCCTATTCCACTTTACTTCGGGCGGAAGGCCGACTACCCTGAACTGGTCGGCAGTCAGTTGCAGGGCATAGATCGTGAAAAACAACCATTCACACCCACATCCACACCGTCACCCAATGGGAACCAATCCCACGCTGCCCGCACGTAACTCAGGCGAGTATACCGCGACGCCATCAGTGACTCAAAGATGATTCCCGTAAGCCTTATTAACCCCCTACGTGTAACACTCAGGATATCGTACAGGGCGGAACCTCCAATGTCAAACACAATCAGTTCCAAAATCTGTGACTAGGCGAAATAACCAATGCCAACACCGCAAATTCATCCTGTACGTGCAATCACTGTACACGAGGGAATGTGGAGTTGCTCTGTGGTGTATGTCAATTTTATCTCGCTCGCACACAAATCCCCTCAGGAAATCTCAGAAAACACTATGAGTGCATTCAAAGAGTTTCAACGAAATTGTACTGTGACTCGTGATGATGATGATGAATATGACTTGAATAACGAATACTTCCTTTGTAACACCTGAATGTCTGGTTGCTTGTTGCAGGACAGCACAGTTGCTTTTAAGATGGCCCGTCGTCATCTAAAAGTTCCACTAACATGTACAAATATGTTTTACGTTAGGAGTGAGCAAACACCCAACCGTTGGTCTGTGTCAGCTAGTCGATTTGTATTTCCGGTGGATCCTTCAAAGTTCACCACAATCCGTTCGTCGCCGTTCCGTAAGATTGCGAGCGATATTTTAGTCAACTCTTTCACCCCTATTGACGGCGAGAGACGTCAAAGATCCATTTGAACTATTCTGCCAATGAATGATTTACTGAACATTTTAACATTCTTAAGGCTCATACACGTGTCAAACATAAGTGAATCGACCAACTAAACCAAAACTTAAATGACTCACTCTTCTATCAGGACATCGACAGCGTGAACTAGCAATCGGCTTTAAATATTTTCAGTTGTCACACAAGTGTAACTGCATGAAAAACCTTACAGGAGACTTGAGTATTTACTCACACTTTGATATGTGGCAGATTAGATTTAAACCGTTACCCACCGAAAAATAAAATAAAGAGCTGACCATACAATGTGCACCCCAATCATCGATGTCAAACTGGTTGTAGTGAGCAGCCATGAGTGATTCCTCACAAAAGGAAAATTTCAAACTGTACTTTGGAGGTTCCACTGTAGTCACAAAGTAGACTGCTGACTTCTTCTCTGCAAAAGTTGACTAGTGCAGTGTTTCCCAACCTTTTTGGAGCCGAGGCACATTTTTTTTTTACATTCAAAACCCACTCGACCAGACAAAACGTCACAAAAAGTACATGTATCCTATTTTCGTCTTAGTTTACTCACAGACCTCAATTGTTCTGCCTGTCACTGTATGTCGCTGACATAGATAGATGAACAAAGACACATTTTAAGTGTTTTATTTATTTTTATTCTTTTTTTAACCAGTGAAATTTTATCATTTCCCAGGACGCACTAGTGTTTGGGAATCACTGCACTATTACTATACTTCATGCGCATGCTTCAGTTCATTTCGTACCATTTGAGCGATTAGTTATCACTTCTTTTGTTCCGCGTTAGTTGTAAAGCCTTCTCAAAGCCTTTTGAAAAGGATGATGTGACTTGTGAATTAGCATATTTAAAATGTTTGCTATATCGTGCCGTTGGTTTAAAATAGCTACACGTACATGAGTATCTTTCTTCCGGCAGAAGAGTTCGGGTGATCGTAAAATCGGTTCTTGGGTGGCCATCAGCAGAGCTTATTTTTATGTATTTGTCTGAAACACTTCCGTCAATGTGCTGTTATTGTTTGAGAAGCAACGAGCTGTGTGCGATTGTGAGAAGTCAGTCTCAGGTGAGCAATCAGTGATTCAGTAAGGTTTTTGATTTACATGCTCAAATGTTGATGGAGAAAACGAAATAAAAATGTGCCACACCGGTGCCCAATGTGCTTAGAACTTCGTCGCCGGTCCAGTTGGAGTTTGATGTCAGCACGAGTAGAAGCTACCTGTTGAACTGCAGAGGTTTAAAAGAATGTTTGGTAGAGGTTTCTTTTTTGGGTGCCAATTGGTGGAATGCCCAATTGGTGTTCGGGTTTTCGCAGAATTCAAACTCGGCGAGGAGTTTCCAACTAAGTTCAGGAGCCAAAGCAGGAGCTTCGTTGTAGTAACAAGCCACTGAGCTGAGCCTGAGGAGGTTCGAAGACAAAAATAGTGGTGTACTCAAGAAGATGGATGGATGTTCATGTACAACCTGAAAAACAATGAACCCCTACTTATTCGTAGTTTGCTACTCACACATTGCCGATTCACAAAAGTCCCTATTCACGTTTGCGTCGCTTCCTTAAAACGCCTTAAGATGGCACCAAACCCCTGGCTAGCACCCACCCATCCATCCATCCATCCATCTATATCAGTGGTTCCTAACCTTAGAGGTACCGAACCCAACCATAACATATTAACATGCACATTCACCGAACCTTTGGTTCGTGAAAAATAAGTACTGTATATATTTTTTTCACAAATTCCAAGGTATTTTAAAAAAAAAACACATTTATTAAAAACAAGAAGAAAGTTAATACAATGTCAAGGGATAAGTATACTTTAATTGAACGACATACTATCACTACAGCCACTCGTTGACTACTAAGCGAACTAAATTTCCCCCAGCACTGATTGGACAAGCAATGTCATGTGATCACCTGCAACCAGTCATGGCCAAGAGGGCGTGTCATAAATAATTAACGTGTGACCTGTTGTGTCGCGTGCGTCTTACCCTCCATGGCAGAGGCTCCGTCGAACACCTGAGACCGATTCACCGAACCCTTGGGGTTCGATCGAACCCAGGTTAAGAACCACTGATCTATATATTACAACTCCTTTGTTTTTACTATGTTGTATTTATTCCTTCTTTAAACTTAAACAACACTGTGTGTGTGTGTAAAAACTTTTAATATATCTTTCACACAAATGATTGTGATTCAAATTTAAATAGCAACAGTATGTAGTAATTGCAAGCTTTCATTCGTTTTTCATAAGAGACTTGGAATAGTGTTTCATTGGTGCCGTGTCACCACCTGGTCTATATAAAATCAGCTTCAAAAAAGGCACAAGGTAGCAAAAAAAAAGTGTCTGTCTGCAAATAAGGAGCAAAAATGCAGGTTTGAACACAAGCTTTATTATTTTTTTGCCTCTTGTCAGCCTACTAAATCCTAAAGAAGAATGACCTATTCAGTGACACAATGGCATACAATGTAAGTTATTAAAGCACATACACAAACATGGCTTCAGTGCTCCAGTGATGCTGTTTGAAATACAATACAGGGAACACATGTTTGCACAAGAAGGCATTTTATGCTTCATGAAGTGTGGCAGCACATGACAACAAAAAAGCGGTTCCTAAATGAGTAAACAGCTTTTTATGCATCCATATTGATGGTTGCCATTTTAGCGTTAATAATAATGTGAAGGTCAGGGTTGGTGAAATGATCTGAAAAATATGATTGAAAATATTGATTAGTAGTCAGAAACTCCTAATAGATTAAAAAATAAACATCCTTTTTGTTTGAGGCCAATGTAGTCCTCGGACAAAATGAAGACTGTACGGTTGATGTAAAAAGTCTACACACCCCCGCTCAGATGCCAGCTTTTTGGAATATTAAAAAAAAAAAAAAAAAATTAGACCAAGATAAATCATTTCAAAACTTTTCCCATCATAAATGGGACACAAACTTTCCACCATGCCTTTGGTTTACACTAAAAACTTCTGTTCTTGTAGCGGGCGATGGTGGATGACTCCCACTTTTTGGCCTAATTCGGATTACGGCCGCAGGTTGTGCACATTTGTGCAGCCACATTATCACAGTGATAATTGATTCATTTCTTTATGCAATTAATTTTCTATGATGAGCATTTTTATGTGTAACTCACCCGCAGCAAATGCACGAATGTGAGTTGGTCTTTTAAGAAGCAAGTCCCTACAAAAGAAACACCTTTCAGTTATTGAGTAGATAGATACCGGTACTGCAAATAGATACAATGGAAAGATAACTGTCTCATCACAATCAGACGTGCCTATATATTAAAAATTACAGACTCATGTATACTTCTATGCAACATAACATTGCATATATATGTTACAAAAAAAAAAATCCCCATCGCATTATAAAAACAATTCTGTCCCTGTCGCTTTTTTTTAAATTTCTGCGTTGAAAAACAAGACTTTTAATTAGGTTTCGTGAAATTATTTTGCTGAATATTTCACAATGTATATTACCGAAAAAATATGCACTTATTATAACTACATACTACTACCACAAATTAATAACAACAATAACAATAATCATATCAAACTTGAACAGTACGGTACATTTATATAGTGCCTTTCAAGAGACACAAATATGTTACTACTGTATTTACATAACGTAATCCCCCTAATTATGCAGTTTTTTTTTACATGCAAATTGTGTCTGGCACCATCATTAGATCATGATATTTGTTGTTATTTATAGTTATACAGCATACAATTTTATTTGCCTTCAAGCCTGTCCATAGTCATTTTAATCAAACATTATTGCTTAATAAATCATTTGCTTTCACCTTTTATGCGGGGAACAGTGGCTCACACATCGGGATGATATTTCAAACAGAATTTGGAAAATGTACAATACATTTCTGGGTCACTGCCACGAATTTATCTACAGTACAGAAACCGATTCATGAAGTGATCGAACCTGAGAAAATCTTCAACCATGACCTCCACCTCGGGATGCGCCATCAGGTACTTCTCATTGTCGATCCTGGTCTGGATCTGGCGTCGAAGAAGTTCGTTCCGTTAAATCGACATCTGTTTACGAGGTGCAGTTTGTTTTGCCTTGCGTCTTACTTTGAACTGGCGCAGTGTCTCCCGCTGTTCGGCGTTCAGGACGCCCACGTCCAGCTTGCCTAAGCCGCTTTGGGCAGACATTATTGCTCGTGGGGGACACTGGAAGTGCCAAATCAAGGTTACAATTTACTGCTGAATCGCTTGAAGGGAAAAAACCGATGGCGGTCATCTGCTCACGACACAAAAAGCAGTTGCTATGGAAACGCTCGCCCGAGGTTGCATGTTGTGTCCACCAGAGGGCGGCAAAACACCTGATATAACTTCATGGCTTCCGTGTCAATCATCATTGATACGCTTAAATGTAATTGCTTTTGAGCGACATATTCAAACGAGTACATCATTAACCGTTACTTCCAAGACCGATAATGGGCCTGTTTGTTTAAATCGTTACATTTTTAACTATTTTTTTTATGATTATTGTTACGGTAATTACACTCACCAGTCGAACAATGGTCTTGGCTTCAAAAGTTTGAGAACCACTGGATTATAAAATAAAAAATCAGGAACATTTTCTTTTTATACTAGTGTAAAAAAAAATCTCATTTTATATCATACATCAGAGTTCTCACAGAGAGGTTTCACTCAGTGCTTTCTATAGTTAAAATACAAAATACGAGGCGTTTCTTGAACATTTGTCTTGCTTTCTAGCAGAAGCCTGAAAGTTTTGCGCTACGACTAACTGCTATTTCTGACTGTTACTATAAAGCCCTCCACCTTGTCAAAGGCCCTGGTTGCAGTTGACTCGAAACAACTTTTGGAGAGGAGCGAATAGATAATTGTGGCCAAAAAGTACAACCTGTAATAAAATCTCTCAAACACATTCAATGTATTCCTATGAATAACAAAATCTGAGAAACTGATCATGTTGTAACAATCTCAAAATTTCTTTCCAGAGCTTTAAATAATATTGACATCATATTTTTGTTACCTCATTTGGCCAATAGCACTGCATTGTTAAATTACAAACTCGCAGTGTAGGAAATCCTTGTTTTTGAAGAAAAAAAGACAAAAAGTACCTTAATATAGATAAATCTTTATATTTCCATTTTCACAGTACATAAATTCCATGAATCTCTGATATTTTACAAACTTTAAAAAAAAAAAATTGACAAACACACGGTACTGATTGAACTATACACAGAGCATTTGGTACAAAGTGCATCGATTCACGATACAATATGGCGGTGTATATTAAATACACGGTAGCTTAAAGGCTGCATGCTTGACACTGTATAAAGTAAAAAGGCCGAAAAAGATTGAATCATTCATTTTCCCTACCCTATGTTTTTTTTTTTTTTTGTGTGCGGGTGTGTGCATTTTCGTTGTTTGTGTGTGTGTGTGTGTGTGTGTGTGTGTGTGTGTGTGTGTGTGTGTGTGTTGTGTGTGTTATGTAAAAAGCTTGAAAAAGTAGCACAGAGTAAAAGGAATAAACAATAAATATTACAGCAGAATAGTGGCCAGAAGTTCCCCATTAGTGGGACATAAGCAATTGGATTCATGGCCAACAGTCTCCTTTCTAAATTATCACACCTCATAAACTGTACAAGCTTTTGCTGGTGTTGTTATAAACATTCAGGGTTCATTTTCTGTTGTCACTCGCTCTGGGTGAAGAAATAGGTTGTATTGTTGAAGTGAATTGCTTCTGTCCTTGCCGTCTCGGCATCATTTTCGACCGCCTCGTCTTCCTCCTCGACCACGGGGGGCTCTTCGTTGGGACTTGGGGGGTTCAAGGTCACCAAGGCTCGACTTTCTGGCGCTATTGGGGGGACCGGTTTGGGCTGGGCGGGTCCTTTGTTTTGGCTTCTGAAACTCAGACTGTGCACTTTGGCAAAGAATTTTTCTTTGCGTCTGCAGTGGAACAAGTGGGGTAAAAATGACAAGTTTGTTCAGTGGTGTGCCGTTACATCATGATTGATTTTGTTTGTGCTCCCTTGATAGTGCAAATTTGTACAACATGTAGTACCAGGAATGAAGTCTACTAACAAAGATGCAGTGCAATTATGAGCAAGTGGAAGAGACTACCATATTGGCCTGAATATAAGATGGCCCTGATTATAAGATGACCCCCTCTTTTTCAAGACTCAAGTTTGAAAAAAGACTTTTTGAACACCAATTTTTATACAGAAAATAATTACCGTCCACCTGAAACAAATGATTATAACAATCGATATGAGAGAAAAAGCATCTTGAAGTTTACACCATAACTTCTCAGCTGCCGGTTAATCTGGCCGATCTTCGACCCATTTTTCTCCAGACTGTCGCTACGTTTCTCCATTTTCTGTTATCTCTTCTATTATTTTCTTCTCTTTTCTTTCTTACCACTATTATTTTATTTTATTTTTCTTCTTCGTGCTACCGCTATTTTTATTTTTATTCTTCGTGCCAGGGGATCCTTTGGCCTGGGGATTCAAGTTCAGCATTCGCTTCAATGGATATCTGGCACCATCTAGCGTCGTGAATGGGTATAATGTCTAGACCCCGAATACTGTATAACACGACCCCCACTTTTTCAGTCTTATTTCAATGCAAAAAACACCGTCTTATATTCGAGCCAATACGGAAATAGGCACTGTGGTACAAAAATCATAATTTGGGCCATGGTGCAGATGCGCCCTCTGACAAATTTGAGCTCGCAAAGTTTGAATTCCTTCTGTTTTTTGTTTTGGGATCAATTTTACAGTCAATCTCAGCTGGACGTGTCAAATGAAGCTTCAGGCAAGCACAATTCTCTTGAGAGCACACCTTTTCACCAATCGCGGTTTGGTCTGTAACGTATCCCCACGTCGTCATTTGAGATTTACCTGAACACGTAGGCGGACAAAATAATGGCGAGGATGGCAAACAAACAGGAGATCCACACGATATGACGCGACACTATTGTGGGGCTGACGCTGGCTTCGGGAAGTGCTGCAAAGACACAAGAGCCATGACCACCAAAAGTACATTTTAGGGTGTGTGGTGTATGCAAAAAGGAAGGTTGAGCCATGTTTCCTGAGCGCCCCTCGTGCTTTTGTGGCTTAACTACCTGTTCTAACCAGAAGGAACTTTTCAACATCAACACTCGTCTTCCTGCGTCTCACACTTGGTGATCTGAAGAATGCCTGCAAGGCTCACTCACCTTCAGATGGATCGTCCGTGCCGGAACCTTCATACTCGGGAAACTACAAGATGAAAGAAAGTCACCAAAAAAAAAAAAAAAGTTAAAAGGGGGATTTTGCGATTCTTTCTCTTTCTCTCTCTCTTTCTCTTTCTCTCTCCATTGTCAATTGGTTATAAAAAACAAAACAAAAACAGTTTTTCAGTCTGACACAAAAAAAGGAAAAAATCGTCCGATTTTTCCAATTTCAATTTTAGCTTCAGAAAATTCAAGAAGAGCCATATAGGACTGGTTTTGATTGTTTGGGTTTACGTTACACAACTGTAGTCTGTATCACAACCACAATACATAACGTTTGATAAACCTAATCGAAACAAGAATTTGGAATATGGTTTTGGGAGTGTTTTTAAATGCCAAGATATGGATTTTGTGTCTGTAGGTCACATATTATTCTGTAGTCTTGTCATGAATTTTTTTTACAGTGAGGCCACAGTACAGACTTGTCTTTAAAAGTGTATCCCATTGATATGAAACTTTTTAGAATGTGTTTTTCTGTAGTCATAAATAAAAAAACAACCAAAAATAAAAAAAACATTTCAAAAAAAAAACTCCTATCAGGAATCAGTTCCCAATCAAACCAACTTGTTTACCGTGACATTCATCAGTTCTTCTTCAGTCAGTAATGCAATTGGCTCTTCTGTCCTGGAGTCTGAAATGAAACGTGAAGATGGGAAAATATTATAAAAATGTTTATTTTTTTGTTTCTTTTAATGATTAGAGTTTAGCGTTTACGAAAATCCAAAATTCACCATCTCAAGAAATTTGAATATCGCAACAGAAGAAAAAAAAAAAAACAGTTCAATACCCTAGTAAGGATAAACGGTACAGAAAATGGATGGACAGCAATTGGAATTGGATTATGTTTCATGAATTAGCATCATGCAGTATGTCATTTTTCAATTTAACTATGAAAATAAATAAATCACAATATCAAATATCCACAAAATCGAATTTTCGATCACACACAAGCACAATAATCATGGCTGAAAATATACACAAGTAATTATATATGCAAGTATAGTAACTGCATCAAAAAATAATGACCCTTGTTATGGCTGAGAGGGTGGTTTACATTTAAAATGTCTGTTTTTTAAAAACACATATTTCAGAGAAACAAAGAGCGGAAGAGGAGCAATTAGGAATCAAAGTAGGTGTGCTGAGACATGTTTACAACTCTGCTTTCTTTGGAATGCTCTTCGGAAAACTCCAACATGCAGGAAGGAAACGCAAGCGTTGGCGCTTGCAGAACACGATGTGCTGGATTCTGACAGGACGCCAAAATCATAACCGCACATCCATTTTGATGTTTTGCCATTCAATAAGATGCTTTCGTGTGGATTTTCGTAAATTAAAAAAAAAAAAAAATCTTTAATTTTTGTTATTTACCAATCCAGCTGCTTCCATAGACGGGTGCGCTCCAGCCACTCCAGAGGCCATCGAATTCTTCCTTAGTTCTGAGCTGCATCATATACTCCACGCCTGGAATCGCGTCGGTGATCGTGAACGAGCGACGGCCCTTGATTAGCTTCAGCTAACACACACGCATGCACAGGAATTGTTGGAAATGAGCTCAACATTAATATTCCCACTTCTGACACCAGTTGATTTATTATTTTTTTATTTTAAAGGTTCGCGAGATGTACCTTATTTTCCACACTAAAAGGCGCACCTAAAAGCCTTCCATTTTCTTAAAAGCTCGCAGCGCGCCTTAAAATCCGATGCGCCTTATGTATGGTTATTACAGTAATATGTCGACCCCAAAATGGCCCCTCGCTAGAGGCATGCTTACAATGCAGAGTTCAAACTTCAGGCGATCGGTTACGCGGTTGAACACGGAAATAGAGCAGCGGCAAGAGAGTTCAACGTTAATGAGTCAATGTTATAACTTGCTGTTGGTTAAGTGAACTGTGTCGCTGCTTTATTAAATAAGTTTTACGGACAACTGATCGTTCTGTTGGCATTTCCTTGAGCGTAGCTCCATCTAGTGGATGCATTGTAGATTGCGTCTTATAATGCGGTGCGCCCAATATATGAAAACATTTACAAAATAGGCCATT